TGTAGATACTGCTAGATCAATTTCAGGCACGTTCCTCTGCCTTGTAACATCATAATTAAGACACCGCAGCTACATTTTCATCGCCGAAGTCCGTTCGGGTGTCACTCAATGCAAATTACGCGAACATTCGGACCTAGGGACGGGATGTCCCTGCAGACCGAACTCGGAGTTGGATCACAGTTTAAAAGCAGCGCTTTGTAACACTTTGAACAAGCGACTTTCGTGTTCCTGATTACATTTATGATGTCTCATAATTATTTACTGATTAGAACCGGGGCTATATATATATATATCTTTGCATGTGCGCCTTAATTTGGATGACCCAATAGGGACAAAAGTGGTGCAATTTGGGGAGTTCTTGGAATTCCGAAGCTACAGAGAGTTATTAACTCTGATCCTAAAAACATGGAGCGAAAACCATAGCCCACCAGGGGCGCGGTTTCAATACCAAAGGCTCATGAGAAGGGTTATTACGTAACACATACGTAACCCGAGAGTCACACTGCGAAATACATCGAGAGACGTATAAATGGAACACGACGGCCCTGACGAACGGAAGCGAGCAAGCCGGCCGTGTCGAGGCAGTCGCCTATTGTTCGCCGCGACCTGGCGGTAGCCGCCGCAGGAGCATCGGGCAGCAATGGCGACGAACAGCACGGCGGACAGTGTCCCCGTCGTGATTACGACGGAATTTAAGGCAGTTACGAGTTCGGAAAGTTCCTTCGGAAGCCGGTGCCGCCGGCTCAGAATCATCGCGAAGTAATAGCAACGAACAGCACAGAGGACAGTGGGCGACTAAGAATCCGGAAAGCTTCTTCGCTAGCCGGTGCAGAATCATCGGGGGGAAGCAGTGGCGATTAGCAGCACAGCGGACAGTGCTCCCGGGGTGATTACGACGGGGTTTAAGGCGGTTACGAATCCAGAAAGCTTCCGTGGTGCCAATATGACGAAGAGAAAACTGTTTCCTGAATCTGGCCGCGTGTGCGACGTGAAGGAGGTCCGTTTCGACGGACTAGTGGATGTCACGGAGCGCCGTACTCTGCAAACAAAATTAAGCGCGCCCGCAAAAAAACTTTGTTGGCGTTGAGTGGACTGCGGTAATTATGTACGTTTATTTCTGAATCAGCTCGACAATAACTGGGCGATTTTTTTTCGCGCCGTTCCGTGATTTTCTTTACTATCTTCCTGTAGGCTGATGGAAACATCCAACGGTAGGCTTAGGAGGGCGACAGCATTCCGCTTCTCGATTCCGGTGAAGTATTTGCTGCATACTTTAGAGTTTGCCGTCGGTGTCGATGCTGTTCCATCGTCGCTAGAAGAGAAAAAAAAGTTAATTGTATTATTCGTCAGCAGCTTAAACAAAGCGCGAACTGGAAGGTAAGGAACGCCACTAACCTGTACGGACGCACAAGTCGTACCCAGGTCGCGCAGTACTCCGCCTCGTACGGCTTCGAAGGGACGATGTATAGACCGACACGCGGAGCGGCTCTGTTTACCAACACGGCCGGAAGGCCGCGCATGCGCGGTAGCTATGTGGGCAAAAGCGACCCGGCTGTCCGTGTTTTCGCCATTGCGTTGTGTGGCGTGCGCTCGTTGTTGACGCTGTAGGGACGCTTCTAGCTTTATATGTAGGTAGTATTTCCTCAGAAGGTATGTCGTATGTTATGCCCGACTATTTGAGCTCGCTACCCGAGCCTGAACGGCGGCGGTATCGAGACAAACTGTGCGTGGACAGCGTTGCCTACGAGGATCCGTACGCCGTAAAAAAGGCCTGCCGGGCTTCCGACGTGAACTTGCTGTCACCGAAGTCGACGGCTCACGTCGTCGTTTACTTAGTTTTTTCGCCCAGCCAGTTCACGGCCGACACGGTGCAGGCGTACAATCTCTCGAGGCCTACGATTACTTCAATTCGGTTTCCGCACTGCCGGCGGGATCAGCAGACTCTGGGTCTGCGGAAGTGCTTTATTAATGAAATAAGTACACACAGCGTCTTCAAGTAAAAGTATGTTATTCTTCTTACTCTCATGACCACAAGGCATGACAAGCAGTAACGCTTTGTCCGTTCTGCAGTTTGGCGGTAATACGTTACAAGTAACGGTGTTACCAGGAACGCGTTACTTTTTTCGGTAACGTGGTAAACTACTCGCTCCTTGTTCGACGCAGTAACAGGTAACGTACTTACGTTACTATTTCAAGTAGCGTAGTTTCGTTACCTCGTTACTACAATTACACTTCAATTTTTTCCGTGTTTTTAGGCGTCAAGCTCTGTTTTTCTTTCATTTTTTTCTCATGACTATTTAGCTGAAACCGTAAAAAGAGGTAAAGTAATTATGTTCAGTTTCTGCATGAACATAATGTTTCTTGATATATGAGCTTATGCACACCTTTATCGTCAAAACCATAAAACGTGTTAAATCATAATTTAAAAAGTAACGCAGAAGTAACGTGCGTTACTTTTTATCGGTAGCGGTAACGCGTTCCTTTTATTTTTAGGCAACTTAGCTCAGTAACGTGTACCTTTGATTTGCAAGTAACGTGTAACGTATTCCGTTACTTTTTTTCGGTAACGCCTACAACATTGCCGTTCTGCCGCCGATCCCCTTCTGCTTGGTAGCACGGGCGTAGCGAGCCTCCGACGGGCGCTTGGCCGGTGCTTTGTGCGCAAACACTGTGGCAACAAAATCCGGGTGGTCTCGATCAGACGACGGTTTCCCTGCGCATAAGCAAGCCTCGGGACGGAGATTGAAACGGAAGCCGCACTTGCCTCCAAGAAAGTGCTTGCCGCACAAGCGGTCGTTCGCGCGAGGAGACCATAATTTTCGATCCACGGATATTATCCACCTTCTTGGCCTTTCAGAGTCTGCCGGGAACTTGTGGAAACTCATTCCGCGACTTTTCTTGCACATTTGGGTGCAATTAACGGCAGCACAGCTTTGCGGCATGCTGAAATGCCATGACGCCCATGCGAAACGTGCGCTCTTTTGCCCACACCCCCCGACTCCGGCGCGATCGCAGCGCCGCCGCAGCGCCGTGACGTCAAGCCCGCGTGTCGGTGTATAGTACTTCGTGCCGTGCGCGATGTTGCCGACCACGCAGCAATTGTTGCGGCTTTCTTGGTGCGGAATAACCATCTCAGAAATTACAGCGCTTAACCACTACAACGCACAACCAACGCAGCGACTGGCAGAAGATGCCCGATGCAACGGACCCGTTTGCCGCAAGGGGCGCCCTGGTCGGGGCTTGAATTAGATCCGCACGGTTCCGAGCCAGCAGTCTCAACGGACTATATAAAAGAAATTGTCCAGAATCACGTTTTCTTTCCCAGTTTCTCCGTGTTGGTTAGTTGCTCTCAGTGACGTCCGAAGGTGAGTTGTTAGGCCTTGCTTTTTTTTTTTTTGCGCGCGCGCCAGCGTTTCTTGGTTAAGCGTTTTTGCTCTTCATCGCGTGCCGTGCTACAAGTTCGATGTTCGGATTCTCGTGCGCTGTGTGCACTGTCTTGTTTTCAACTCCGCAAAGTCGGAGTCGGAAGCAGGAACGCGTCTGAAAGCCTCCAGGCTTTGCGAAGTGAGCTAAGACAAAGGGGCCGTACACTAACTGAGTCACTTCCGGGCCGTCTGGAAAAATTGGAGCTTGCGATATCGTTTGTAGTTTTGTGGTATCGTTTTCAATTCGTGTGAGGTAACGGGACGACACTGTCGTGCTGACTTTGAACACGACGACGTTGGGAATGTTGGGGTGCGCAGTTTGATGCCGCACGTTCGCGAACAGATAAACAACCGTAATAACGGTCGTTTTTTTTTTTTTTTTTTTTTTTTTTTTTGTGCGACGCGCTTTGTGCATGCGCACTAGCTCTCGCCTGCAAAGTCGTCAGAGATCACCGAGTCGGCATTTTTAGCCTGGGTGTTAAAAGCTAGAAAGCGTATAAACAATTAAATTAAAAAGGTCACGTTTGATTTTATCGTTTTGTTAGAACATCCGAGGCTGGGCGAAAAAATCTTGAAACAACCTAAGAAGAAGCGACAGCGTAAGGGGTCAGCCAGTCAGCCTCTGACTGACTTTCCCTGTCTCTTCTACATTTGTGTTTCAAGATTTTTTTTTTGTACAGCGGGTGTTTTAACAAAACGGTAAAATCAAACGCGAAATTTTCATGTATCTAATGGGCACAAACGCAAATTATCTCTGCCTTTTTTCTTTTTAATTCGAACTATTCGTTTTATTCGAGCGGTCATAGTGCAGCTGCGCGTGTTTTAATAGTTTTTTTTTTCTTTTGTAATGTTGGATCGATTCTTGGTGTGACTCTTCCAAACGTTAGCTCTTCCGCCATCATGGGCAATATATACCACGAATTTGAGACAACGTTTATAAAAAATTTGGCTGTGGAAGGCCAACATGGGCTTAGTTGTAATGATAACTGTTCAAAGTGTCGTCACCCGGGAAACGGAAATTTTTCGGGCAGCTAACCTTTATGTCTGTTACGAAGATGTGGAACATAAATGTGAAACCGCAGCTTTACTGTAGTTGGTTTAATGTTGAGCGCCACTGGAACTCGCCGTCTGTCGCCTTGCCTGGAGTGTTATTCCTAAGATATGCATTGCTCCTATAGCGTACGGTCTGCTAGAAGTCTGTTGGCTAGGTGGCATTTGGGATGGTTGCATTTGACAAGCTTTTGCCTCTCTCTTTCGCAGCTACAAATCCTCGTTGGTGTGACGGCGAGACCGTCCAATCGTTGGGGTTGTGCGACGAGCGCGACCATTCCTCGGTGTTGTGCCAGTGAAACTTGGACTGAACAGTGTGCGGTGTTGTGCGCGCCGATCCGGACGTGTCCACAAGGGCCGCCGCGGGACTCGTCATCTTGGGTGAGCAGACGGGGGAGCCACATCTTCGGCTCAAATCCCCGTTATACGCGACACGGGCGTTGGCCTCTAGTGGGAAACCAAACAAAAACTACACAGGGCTGGAACTCTAGGGCATGCATAGGCTAAGATCAGCTCGCGTTCGCGATGTTGGTTCGAGTCCTGCGTACCGGTTCTAAGGTTAGCCGCGAGACTGGGCGCATAGCGGGGCCAACTGCTCCCCTGTCGCAAAAGCCATACTCAGCGTCGCAAAAACCTAAGTTCCAGCGCTCGCGGTTGAAGCGCGTACATAGTTGTGTTTTAGGCGGTCTGGCTTTTGGGACGGGGATTTTCAGGTCGACGTGACCCTCGGCGTCGAGACCCTCGTCGGCGTCGTGGCCTTCATCTACGAGAACTTCGCATCAGGCTGTTTGTATCCACCGCTTGTCGGCTGGGACATTCGGCTGCAAGTAAGTGGGATTCACTATTTCTCGACGGCGTGCGCGTATATCCCTTAAAATCAAATAGCGCACAGTCACACGGTGATTCTGCCTTTCCCGGTATTTTGAAGGTCCGCAGTCGTGTTAGAAGCATCTCTTGGCCTTCGGAATTGTGTACTGGTTTATAATAAAAGTTGAAATATCATTTTATGTGCTTGTCTTTCGTGCTTCCCTCCCTTCACAAACACGCACAGCTTCCGAGAATCGCAGGCTTGCATACCTAACCGCGTCGTTTCCTTTGAGGACCTTTTTTTCAGTGTGCGAATGTGTCATCAATGCGCGGCTCTTGAATATGAAGGACTTTCCTAGTCACTGTATTTATTACCTGGTTTAATATTGTGGCACCCCGCCGAATGAGATTTGCTAGAAATCGAATGACTCTACGCAATCCAATGGGGACATTGGTAGGGTTGGAAATGTGTTTATTGATACTTTCTTGTATTTATTTCTTTTCAGATGGGCCGCAGCTGAACGTGGACGCGTTGTGCCTCGATGGCCTCGTAGTCTGGAGGCTGATTCACGCGGCACTTTTCAATCGGAACCACTGCTCGCACACCGTTAGAACTTGGTTGTGCCACCTTTCTTGTCTCGGACTATTTTTTTTGGGTCATTTTTTTTTTTTTTGTTTTTGGCGGCGAGCTTTTTTCTTTTACGATATACTTTGCTTTGCTACTGCCAACATCGCTGCTGAACTTATTTTATTCGTTGCTACGTTGACCCGCAGTCATCGTCAATGCCACTCGCAAAAAAAAGAAAGTTTTATAGATTTGTTTGTGTCCGCGCAGGTGAACGTATTTATTTATTTGTTTTGAAAATACCGCCCATCTCAGAAGGGATACAGGAGGAATTACACACAAAATTCACTTGTATTATAATTGGCGCTTCCTTGTCAAATCATGGGCACAAGTGCTAACTGGACCTAAGGAAAAAATAAAAGGACGAAGTTGGAATATGATACATTTCCTTATATTGTGGCTATGGGTAAGGGGACCGAGGTTTAATGTTCAGTGAACCAACCCCTGGCTAAATAAGCTCCTTTTCTTTTACTTTTTTTTTGCGTACTATTAAGAGGGTAAGCTTCTGTTTCAGGCCCATGAGAGAATCGGCGAGCTTTTGTACTTTTTGCCTTAGCCGAGGATTCTTCGAGGAGTTGGTTTCTTTGGGCCTAGCGTTTATATAGTTTTAGTCATTGTCGACTCGAGGTCAGAACGGCACGGACGAGCTTCAGTTGTCCCGCTTCCAGCGCCAGCTTCCTGCCTTACAATGCCTCGATGCTATGCGCGCAGCCAAAGCACTGCGGAAAGCTTAATTCGAGAGGCGCGCTCTGCCACTGTAGATATCGAACCTATCGGGCGCGTGCTCAATCCATGCTTGGAACTTGACGGCTGGAGTCGCTAACAACACGTGCCCTTGACAAGCTTTTGCCCTGATTTTGCCTCTCTTTCGCAGCTACAAATCCTCGTTGGTGTGACGGCGAGACCGTCCAATCGTCGGGGTTGTGCGACGAGCCCGGCCACTCCTCGGTGCTGTGCCAGTGAGACTAGGATTGAACAGTGTGCGGTGTTGTGCGAGGCGATCCGGACGTGTCCACAAGGGCCGCCGCGGGACTCATCATCTTGGGTGAGCAGACGGGGGAGCCACATCTTCGGCTCAAATCCCCGTTATACGCGACACGGGCGTTGGCCTCTAGTGGGAAACCAAACAAAAACTACACAAGACTGGAACTCTAGGGCATGCATAGGCTAAGATCAGCTCGCGTTCGCGATGTTGGTTCGAGTCCTGCGTACCGGTTCTAAGGTTAGCCGCGAGACTGGGCGCATAGCGGGGCCAACTGCTCCCCTGTCGCAAAAGCCATACTCAGCGTCGTTCTTCCGCCCCTCATGGAGGAGGCGAAGAGATCCGAAGACTACGACGTCCAACACACGGCCGTCCAGCAGATCCTAGCGGCACTCGAGAAGCAGCGACCGGACGGGATGGAAGCAGAAAGGGTTAACCCGAGTACGCTGAAGCCCGCCGCGAGCGGCTCTCCCCGCTAAGAAGACGTCCGGCCACGTCGCCCCAAGAACCCACCTGAGAGGGTGGGATGATAGGGGTTACTGCAGGAGACCCATTAAAGTTGCTCTCTCTCTCTCTCAGCGTCGCAAAAACACAAGTTGCAGCGCTCGCGGTTGAAGCGCGTACATAGTTGCTTTTTAGGCGGTCTGGCTTTTGGGACGGGGATTTTCAGGTCGACGTGACCCTCGGCGTCGAGACCCTCGTCGGCGTCGTGGCCTTCACCTACGAGAACTTCGCATCAGGCTGTTTGTATCCACCGCTTGTCGGCTGGGACATTCGGCTGCAAGTAAGTGGGATTCACTATTTCTCCACGGCGCGCGCGTATGTCGCTTAAAATGAAATAGAGCGCCGTCATCCGGTGATTCTGCCTTGCCGTGTACTTTGAAGGTCCGTAGTCGTGTTTGAAGCATCTCTCTGCCTTCGGAATTGTGTACTGGTTTATAATAAAAATTGAAAAATCATTTTATGTGCTTGTCTTTTGTGCTCCCCTCCCTTCACAAACACGCACAGCTTCCGGGAATCGCAGGCTTGCATATCTAACCGTGTCGTTGCCTTTCAGGAACTTTTTTTCAGTGTGCGAATGTGTCATCAATGCGCGGCTCTTGAATATGAAGGACTTTCCTAGTCACTGTATTGCCTGGTTTATTATTATTATTTAGGTAGCCAATATTAGAGCAAGTGGCATCCCGCCGAATGCAGTTTGCTGGATATCGAATAAATCTACGCAATCCAATGGGACATTGGTAGGTTTGGTAATGTGTTTACTGATATACTTTCTTGTATTTATTTCTTTTCAGATGGGCCGCAGCTGAACGTGGACGCGTTGTGCCTCGATGGCCTCGTAGTCTGGAGGCTGATTCACGCGGCACTTTTCAATTGGAACGACTGCTCGCACACCGTTAGAACTTGGTTGTGCCACCTTTCTTGTCTCGGACTATTTTTTTTAAGGACATTTTTTGTTTTTGGCGTCGAGTTTTTCTTTTACGATTTACTTTGCTTTAGACGGCAAGGGTGACTTTCGCGAAATGTTTTTTTTTTTTTTTTTTCTAGGTTGCAGTAGTTTCTTTTGTGAAATAGCTTCTCCCCTGTATACTTGTAGCGGTTATTAATAAAACTTGGATGAACTTTTCTCTGCTTCTGTTTCGTGTTCGCCGCTTCACAAACATGCACAGCTTACGGGAATCGCAGGTTTACACACCTAACCGTGTCTTTGTCTTTCAGGAGCTTTGTAGCGTGCTAATATGTGGCTTGAAAGCAATAAAAAACTTTCTCTGTCGCTCGTAATATCTTGTTTATTTGATATCTCGGCGAATCGCATCCCGGCAAATGCGATTTGCTAGGGTATCGACTAACTTCTCCACTCTCCACTGGGAGCCTTGGTGTCCATGCGTCTGTTCCTGGTGCCGTCTTGTATTTTTGTTTGTTTTCATGTGTACTTGGTGGAGATGGTTTGTTTTCTGGTACTGTCTTGTATTTTTCTTTCTTTTCAGGTGAGCCGTGACTGACCGTGGATTTGTTCTGCGTCGATGGTGGAGTTTGGATTCACTTCAATCTCGCCCAAGTGTCTTAAGGGAGTCTTATCGTTTTTGAAGAGGTGACATGAGCTCCCGTAGTAGTACCACGATGTCTCGTATAAACTTTCTATTTCTTTCAGATTTTGTCGAATTCCGATGGTTGGTCTGGTACTGTCTCGGTTTGTTGGGTTTTCTTGTTTCAGGTGCGGCTATGCCGGGGTTTGCGCGGACCAAGTTTTGCGCGGACGCCTGGCTTTCTTCCTGGGGTCATGGCCTGATGCTGCGGTTCTGGGTCGTGCCGGTTGCAGCCTGCACGAGGAGCTGATTACTGTCCGTGCTGATCACGGAGTTGCGGAGCTGATTACTGTCCGTGCTGATCACGGAGTTGCGGAGCTGATTCCTGTCCGTGCTGATCACGGAGTTGCGGAGCTGATTCCTGTCCGTGCTGATCACGGAGTTGCGGAGCTGATTCCTGTCCGTGCTGATCACGGAGTTGCGGAGCTGATTCCTGTCCGTGCTAATCACGAAGTTGCGGAGCTGATTCCTCTCCGTGCTGATCACGGAGTTGCGGAGCTGATTCCTGTCCGTGCTGATCACGAAGTTGCGGAGCTGATTCCTGTCCGTGCTGATCACGGAGTTGCGGAGCTGATTCCTGTCCGTGCTGATCACGGAGTTCCGGAGCCGATTCCTGCCCGTGCTGAACACGGAGTCGGCGGAGCCGATTCCTTCTCGTGCTGATCACGGAGTTGCGGAGCTGATTCCTGTCCGTGCTGATCACGGAGTTGCGGAGCTGATTCCTGTCCGTGCTGATCACGAAGTTGCGGAGCTGATTCCTGTCCGTGCTGATCACGGAGTTGCGGAGCTGATTCCTGTCCGTGCTGATCACGGAGTTGCGGAGCTGATTACTGTCCGTGCTGATCACGGAGTTGCGGAGCTGATTCCTGTCCGTGCTGATCACGGAGTCGCGGAGCTGATTCCTGTCCGTGCTGATCACGGAGTTGCGGAGCTGATTCCTGTCCGTGCTGATCACGGAGTTGCGGAGCTGATTCCTGTCCGTGCTGATCACGGAGTTGCGGAGCTGATTCCTGTCCGTGCTGATCACGGAGTTGCGGAGCTGATTCTTGTCCGTGCTGATCACGGAGTTGCGGAGCTGATTCCTGTCCGTGCTGATCACGGAGTTGCGGAGCTGATTCCTGTCCGTGCTGATCACGGAGTTGCGGAGCTGATTCCTGTCCGTGCTGATCACGGAGTTGCGGAGCTGATTCCTGTCCGTGCTGATCACGGAGTTGCGGAGCTGATTACTGTCCGTGCTGATCACGGAGTTGCGGAGCTGATTCCTGTCCGTGCTGATCACGGAGTTGCGGAGCTGATTCCTGTCCGTGCTGATCACGGAATCGGCGGAGCCGATTCCTGCCCGTGCTGATCACGGAGTCGGCGGAGCCGATTCCTGCCCGTGCTGATCACGGAGTCGGCGGAGCCGATTCCTGCCCGTGCTGATCACGGAGTCGGCGGTGCCGATTCCTGCCCGTGCTGATCACGGAGTCGGTGGAGCCGATTCCTGCCCGTGCTGATCACGGAGTCGGCGGAGCTGATTCCTGCCCGTGCTGATCACGGAGTGTGCGGAGCTGATTCCTGCCCGTGCCGATCACGGAGTCGGCGGAGCTGATTCCTGCCCGTGCTGATCACGGAGTCGGCGGAGCTGATTCCTGCCCGTGCTGATCACGGAGTCGGCGGAGCTGATTCCTGCCCGTGCTGATCACGGAGTCGGCGGAGCTGATTCCTGCCCGTGCTGATCACGGAGTCGGCGGAGCCGATTCCTGCCCGTGCTGATCACGGAGTCGGCGGCGCCGATTCCTGCCCGTGCTGATCACGGAGTCGGCGGAGCCGATTCCTGCCCGTGCTGATCACGGAGTCGGCAGAGCCGATTCCTGCTCGTGCTGATCACGGAGTCGGCGGAGCCGATTCCTGCCCGTGCTGATCACGTAGTCGGCGGAGCCGATTCCTGCCCGTGCTGATCACGGAGTCGGCAGAGCCGATTCCTGCTCGTGCTGATCACGGAGTCGGCGGAGCCGATTCCTGCCCGTGCTGATCACGGAGTCGGCGGAGCCGATTCCTGCCCGTGCTGATCACTGAGTCGGCGGAGCCGATTCCTGCCCGTGCTGATCACTGAGTCGGCGGAGCTGATTCCTGCCCGTGCTGATCACGGAGTCGGCGGAGCCGATTCCTGCCCGTGCTGATCACGGAGTCGGCGGAGCCGATTCCTGCCCGTGCTGATCACTGAGTCGGCGGAGCCGATTCCTGCCCGTGCTGATCACTGAGTCGGCGGAGCTGATTCCTGCCTGTGCTGATCACGGAGTCGGCGGAGCTGATTCCTGCCCGTGCTGATCACGGAGTCGGTGGAGCCGATTCCTGCCCGTGCTGATCACGGAGTCGGCGGAGCTGATTCCTGCCCGTGCTGATCACGGAGTGTGCGGAGCTGATTCCTGCCCGTGCCGATCACGGAGTCGGCGGAGCTGATTCCTGCCCGTGCTGATCACGGAGTCGGCGGAGCTGATTCCTGCCCGTGCTGATCACGGAGTCGGCGGAGCTGATTCCTGCCCGTGCTGATCACGGAGTCGGCGGAGCTGATTCCTGCCCGTGCTGATCACGGAGTCGGCGGAGCCGATTCCTGCCCGTGCTGATCACGGAGTCGGCGGCGCCGATTCCTGCCCGCGCTGATCACGGAGTCGGCGGAGCCGATTCCTGCCCGTGCTGATCACGGAGTCGGCAGAGCCGATTCCTGCTCGTGCTGATCACGGAGTCGGCGGAGCCGATTCCTGCCCGTGCTGATCACGTAGTCGGCGGAGCCGATTCCTGCCCGTGCTGATCACGGAGTCGGCGGAGCCGATTCCTGCCCGTGCTGATCACGGAGTCGGCGGAGCTGATTCCTGCCCGTGCTGATCACGGAGTGTGCGGAGCTGATTCCTGCCCGTGCTGATCACGGAGTCGGCGGAGCCGATTCCTGCCCGTGCTGATCACGGAGTCGGCGGAGCCGATTCCTGCCCGTGCTGATCACGGAGTCGGCGGTGCCGATTCCTGCCCGTGCTGATCACGGAGTCGGTGGAGCCGATTCCTGCCCGTGCTGATCACGGAGTCGGCGGAGCTGATTCCTGTCCGTGCTGATCACGGAGTTGCGGAGCTGATTACTGTCCGTGCTGATCACGGAGTTGCGGAGCTGATTCCTGTCCGTGCTGATCACGGAGTTGCGGAGCTGATTCCTGTCCGTGCTGATCACGGAATCGGCGGAGCCGATTCCTGCCCGTGCTGATCACGGAGTCGGCGGAGCCGATTCCTGCCCGTGCTGATCACGGAGTCGGCGGAGCCGATTCCTGCCCGTGCTGATCACGGAGTCGGCGGTGCCGATTCCTGCCCGTGCCGATCACGGAGTCGGTGGAGCCGATTCCTGCCCGTGCTGATCACGGAGTCGGCGGAGCTGATTCCTGCCCGTGCTGATCACGGAGTGTGCGGAGCTGATTCCTGCCCGTGCCGATCACGGAGTCGGCGGAGCTGATTCCTGCCCGTGCTGATCACGGAGTCGGCGGAGCTGATTCCTGCCCGTGCTGATCACGGAGTCGGCGGAGCTGATTCCTGCCCGTGCTGATCACGGAGTCGGCGGAGCTGATTCCTGCCCGTGCTGATCACGGAGTCGGCGGAGCCGATTCCTGCCCGTGCTGATCACGGAGTCGGCGGAGCCGATTCCTGCCCGTGCTGATCACGGAGTCGGCGGAGCTGA